TAGGTGACCCCTGTGAAAGTGTTGTTCGACCCCCAAAGGGGTCGTGACCCACAGGTTGAGAACCACTGCTCTAAGTAGATGAGTGGATTAAAAGCTGTGGGTATATTTATTTTTTATCAAGGGCTTTCTATTTTGTTAATACTCACCCGAGGATATTTTTTCCATTGATTTTTAGAGAGAATAAAAGAGAGAGAAACATCGATGTGAGAGAGACATATGGATTGATTGCCTCCTGACCAGGGCAAGGGGTCAAATCTGAAACCCAGGTACGTATGCCTGACCAGGAATCCAACCCAGGACCCCTTGGTGCTCGGGCTGACACTCTAACCACTTAGCAACATGGTCCAGGGCAAGGTGTGGTACATTTACACAATGGAATACTACTCAGCTATAAAAAAGAAGCAAATCTTATCTTTTGTGACAGTATGGATAAATCTGGAGATTATTATGCTAAGTGAAATAAGCCAGCTAGAGAGAGACAAGTACCATCTGATTTCACTTATATGTGGAATCTAGTGAACAAAATAGACTAACTAACAAAATAGAAACAGACGCATAGATACAGAAAACAGAATGACAGCTGTCAGAGGAGAGGGGTTTGGGGGGGCTGGGTGAAAAAGGTGAAGAAATTAAGCATAAAAACTCCCCCCAAACTAATAGACACAGACAGTATGGTGATGGGTGGGTGGAGGTGAGAAGAGGATAAAGGGAAGATAAATGGTGATGGAAGAAGATGTGACTTGGGGTGGGGAACACAATACAATATAGGTGTGTGTGTATGTGTGTGTGTGTGTTTCTTAATCCCTCCACCTTTTTCAGTCTGTTTGCTGTATTAATGAGTCTGTCTTTATTTGTCAGTTAATTTTGTTCATTAGATTCACATATAAATGAGATCATATGGTACTTGTCTTTCTCTGATTGGCTTATTTCACTTAGCATAATAATCTCCTGGTCCATCCATGCTGTCACAAAGGGTAAGATTTCCTTGTGCGTGTGTTTTTTAATGGTTGAGTAGTATTCCATTGTGTAAATGTACCACAGTTTTTTATCCACTCATCTACTGATGGACACTTGGGGTGTTTCCTGATCTTGGCTATTGCAAATAATGCTGCAATGAACATAGGAGTGTTTATATTCTTTCAAATTAGTGTCTCTTCAAATATTTTCCAGGAGTGGGATTGCTGGGTCAAAAGGCAGTTCATGTTTACTTTTTTGAGGAAATTCCATACTGCTTTCCACAGTGGCTGCACCAGTCTGCATTCCCACCAACACTGCACAAGGTTCCCTGTTCTCCCCGAATCCTCGCCAGCACTTATTTGTTGTTTTATTGATGGTAGTCATTCCAACAGGTGGGAGGTGATAACTCCATTTGGTTTTAATTTTCACCTGATGATTATTGATGTTGAGCATTTTTCCATATGTCTGTTGGCCATCTGTATGTCCTCTTTGGAGAAGTGTCTATCAGGTCCTTTGCCCAGTTTTTAATTGGGTTGTTTGTCTTCCCATTGTTGAGTTGCATAAGTTCTTTATATATTTTGGAAATTAACTCCTTATCAGAAGAATCATTGACAAATGTGTTCTCCCATACAGTGAGATCCCTTTTCATTTTGTTGATGTTTTCTTCTGCTGTGCAGAAGCTTTTTAATTTGATGTGTGTTTACTATGCATCCTACAACCTTTCAATTTCAATGATTACTTCCAGGAATTTTTTTTATTATTTATTTATTTTTTAAAAAAATATATTTTATTGATTTTTTATAGAGAGGAAGGGAGAGGGATAGAGAGTTAGAAACATCAATGAGAGAGAAATATCGATCAGCTGCCTCCTACATGCCTCCCACTGGGGATGTGCCCGCAACCAAGGTACATGCCCTTGACCGGAATCAAACCTGGGACCCTTCAGTCCGCAGGCCGACGCTCTATCCACTGAGCCAAACAGGTTAGGGCACTTCCAGGAATTTTTTTAAAAGGAGATTTAGGGAGTTGGCTTCAGTTTTCTAGTACTTTCATGTGTCAGCATGTGTCAACATATAAGCCAGGATTAGGTGCAGCTAATCTTACCTTTGACAGGACACTCTAATCCTCCTGGGACAGGGAGGCTTATGAAGAGCTGCCACAACGCTGTTCTCACTGCTTCTCTGTCCTTCAGGGAATCTGTCCTAAGAGTGTTTCTCCTTGCTGTCTCCCAGTGATGGTGAGGTTGAGGCTTCTACCTCCTGGCAGTGGGGTTGTGTTGCAGGCTTCAAAAGTGCTTAGATACAGATGGCATTCTCTCCTCAGCAACAGGGTCCTGTCATCCCTGCTGCAGTCACCTGACCCCTTTGACGTCGCCCTGTGCAAGGGACAGAGGCAGCTGGCACCTGGGACTAGACTTACTTTCATTGTCTATGTAAGTATTAAACTGTCTGGATCTAAAAAGGGCATATTGTTTTGTGACTGACTGAATCTATCAGCCATGCCTCTGGCTCGACAGTAGCTTCCATGGATTTCTATGTAGACAATTTAATTACACAGACATGAATTTCTCTAGTAATACTCTTTGTGATTTTGTTTCATAGTCAGTTGTACTATTTATTGAGGGCTTTCTATTTTAGTCAGGAATTCCTTGCTTGTAGGTTGAGAATTAGGAATGAAGTGCCAAGCTAATTTAAGAGCGTAGGAAGCAGGAATGTAGGTCCTCTGGGTCTGTGCCCCCAGCAGCTGTGCTGTGTAAATGGGAGGTGAGTCTCCACAGGTGGGAGCTCATCAGGTGCATGGGCAGGAGGACACATTAAGGAAACCTGCCAACACATATACCAACCAACACAGACACCTGCCAAATTAAGAGAGGAGGGCTAACATAGGTGAATGCATGGACCACTCACACGGAAGTACTGCACATACACTTAAGGGGAGGGAGTCCCTCCACTAACCATGAGCTTTACCAGGTCTGAAAGTCTCTGCCTCCTCTCTTTTACCTTCCCAACCTATTCACTGTGACATGAGAGGGAGCCAGCAGAGAACAGAGGGGCCAAGGTATAACCCACTTATCTCGTGGCAATAACAGTGATGATAATACAAGAACAGTGAGAATCATGGATGGAGCCTTTCTTTGGACCAGGCACTCTACAAGGTGCCCTTTCAGCTGGTTTTATGAATCCCAGAGATCTCTAGCTACATCTATCTGTAACTTTTTTATTCTCCCTACCAGGGTTCCTGCAGCCCCTGCTCTCCTTCTAAATCATGCTGCAACCTCATTATTTCCACTAAAAACTCTGAGGAATTGTAGACAGTGTAGGTCTGAGGTGGATTGTGTGAGAACTGTGGGAAATCCAGAGTTTGGTGGGTTATATGCCAATGAATCTTTACTAACTGGGTCTCCCCTTCATCAGTATTCACAGAAAGATGTCACAACTTGGGTAGTTTCTAAGATAGTATTTATCTCGAGGATTTGAGATACTGTAATGTGACACTCAGTTAGAACTGGTTCAGACCACCATTAAATCATTGATGTGGGTTTTTTAAAAACATGTAACCATGACTCTGCATGCCCCTCCTTCAGACAGCCTGTGTCTTCTGTTGTAATGTGGGATTTGTAGGTGTTACGGGTGTACATATATAAGTCACAGTATACAGTCCCAAACCTGCTACTTCAGCTGCTCTGCCATCAACTGCTCTGGAAGGAAATCAAGTACCATGGTGCCCAGAATCTTTGGTAAGGGCCTCCAGCCCCAAGTCTAGCTTGTGTGTTATCACCCCGCCCCCCCTCATGTACCTCAGAACCTCATACTTAATTCTCCTTTCTATTCAGTTCTTGGCTTCCCACCTTGTAATTATCCCCATGTTATTTGTGACTTTATCACAATCTCTCTCCTGACCTGCCAATTTTAGACTCTTAACTCTTCCTAGAGCCCACCCTACATTTCTTCACCTGCAAGTCCAGTCTCCTGGACCCCTCTATTCAGAGTCAATCTCAAAGTCACTCTGAGCTGTAGTTTTAATTTGCATTCCCTTAATGAATAATGATGTTCAGCTTCTTTTCATATGCTTATTGGCCATTTATATGTCCTTTTTTGGAAATATGTCTATTCAGATACTTTCCCACTTTTAAATTGGATTATTTGTCTTTTTATTATTGAGTTTTAAGAGTTCTTAAATATATTCTGGATACTCATCCCTTATCATATGTATGATTTGAAAATACAGTGGAACCTTGTTTCTCAAACTTAATTTGTTCTGGAAGGCTGTTTGAAAACTGAATCATTTTTCCCCCATTAGAAATAATGTAAATTGAATTAATCCATTCCAGACCTCCAAATGATTCCCTGTTTTAACCTTTCTTATATACAGTACATGCATAATGTACTGTTTAATCTATAAATAAACACTTTAAAAACAAAAAGGACATGAAATGTAAATGAAAATTTAACAAAAAGGAAAGAAAATGTACAGCAAAAACCCAAAAATTTAATAATAATTATAAACAGCAACAAAAGCAAGCAAGCAAACAAACAAAAAACACCACAAAAATATTCACAACACAATAACCTGAGATTTTAAAGTGGTAAATTGACTCATACTCTCACATTCTCTCCTTTGTTTGTCACCTGAGAAATGCATGACTCTTCATACAGGTATCAGCATGAAAGGGCTTCGAGGTTGAGAAATGAATTGTTTGAGATGGGAGACATTCGAGAATCGAGGTTTGATTGTATATTGTTTCATTACGTGCATTGCCTTGCAACTTCCTTGATATTATTGTTTGTAATGCATAGGTGTTTTTTTTAAAAAAATCTTTATTGTTAATATTATTACAGATGTCCCTCTGTTTTCCCTCATTGCCCACCTCCACCCGGTTCCTGCCCCGCCACAGGCCTTCTCCACCCTATTGTCTGTGTCCATAGGTAATGTATATAAGATCTTTGTTTAATCTCTTCCCACCCCCATCCCCCTTCCCTCTGAGAATCGTTGGTCTGTTCCATTTCCATGCCTTTGATTCTATTTTATTCACCAGTTTATTCTGATCATTAGATTTCTTATTCATTTATTTTGATTTTTAGATTCAATTGTTGATAGACTATGTAATTGCTGTTATTTTGTTGTTCATATTTTTGATCTATTTCTTTTTCTTCTTCTTCCTCTTCTTAAAGAATACCCTTCAACATTTCATATAATGCTGATTTGGTGGTAATGAGCTCCTTTAGCTTTTTCTTGTCTGTGAAGCTCTTTATCTGATCTTCAATGCTAAATGATAGTTTTGCTGGTAGAGTAATCTTGGTTGTAGGTACTTGCTATCCATCATTTTGAATATTTCTTGCCACTCTCTTCTGGTTTGCATAGTTGCTGTAGAGAAATCAGCTGACAGTCGTATGGGCATTCCCTTGTAGGTAACTACTGCTTTTCTCTTGCTGCTTTTAAGATTATCTTTTTGTCTTTAGCCCTTGGCATTTTAATTATGATGTGTCTTGGTGTGGTCTCTTTGGGTTCATCTTGTTTGGGACTCTGTGCCTCCTGGACTTGTAAGTCTATTTCTTTCACCAGGTAGGGGAAGTGTTCTGTTATTATTTCTTCAAATAGGTTTTCAATATCTCATTCTCTCTCTTCTTCTGGTATCTCCGTAATGTGAATGTTGATACGCTTGAAGTTGTCCCAGAGGTCCTTACACTATCTTCATATTTTTGGATTATTTTTTCTTTTTGGTCTTCTGGTTGGGTGTTTTCTGCTTCCTCATATTTCAAATCATTGATTTGATTCTTAGAATCCTCTACTCTACGGTTGAATCCCTGTATATTATTCTTTATTTCAGTCAGTGTATGCTTAATTTCTGACTGGTCCTTTTCCATTTTTTTTGATGTTTCTAGAAGATTCTTGAGTAATCTTATAACCATGGTTTTGAAATCTATATTTAGTAGTTGGCTTTCTTCAATTTCTTTCATTTGTGACATGTTTCTTTGTCTCTGAATTTTGGCTGTTTCCCTGTGTTTGTTTCTATGTATTGGATAGAGCTGCTATGTCTCCTTAAGTTGGTGGAGTGGTCTTGTATAGTGGATGCACTCACTCTTGGTGCACCCCTTTGTGGGCTGTGTGCACAGTCTTGTTGTAGTTGAGACTTGATAGCTGTTGGTGTCACTGGGAGAAATTGACCTCCAGGCCAATTGGCTGTGAGGACCAGCTGTGACTACAGTGGAAGAGCTACTGTGCAGGAGACACTCCTACAGAGCAGTACTATCTTTTCACTGAGTGGCTCTTGTCACCTCCGATAGCTCTTGGGTCTCCAGGGAGGTGCAAAGTCAGCCACTGCCTGGGGCCACCCAGCAGGAGCTACAGAGAGATCTGCAGATTCCTACTCTTTGTATTGGGTTTGCAAGTGCCCAGAGGAGGACCAGCTGTGAAGCAAGGCAGGCTACTGCTGGTGCAGGCCTTGGGCCTTCTTTTCAAAACTTTGGGCCTCCTTGACCCAGCTCCAGGTTTGTTTGAGAGGTTTTAGGCTGAGAAAGGACAGGCCATTCATATGCAAAAGCTGCTGCACACAGCTTGGGTGGGTTTGTAAATTGGAGGAAGTGGGGTTTTAGGGAATCACCAGGGTAGAGCAAACAGAAATGGCTGCCAGTCAACCCTGTGACCGAGGAGGTCCCAGCTTAGGAACAATGATCCCTGTGAGAATATCTCTGTCTGGGAGAAAGCCTCCCCCGCGTTCCTGTCCTAATGCCAGACAATCCAGTTCCTCCTCGTATGTGTCCCCCAGAGCCTTGCCCTTGTGCCAGAGCTCAGAGGATGTGAGACCTTTTAAGTTCAGTTTGTGGTGCTGGCCTTTTAAGAGGAACAGCTGGGTCTCCAGCAGCCTCTGTGTCACTGAGCCCCAATCCACACTGATTTTTATAGCCTGTAGTTCTTACTGCCCTTAGGGACTTCTTTTCCCAGCTCTCGGACCCTGGGCTCAGGGTCTGGTGTGGGGCTGAGACCCCTTGCTCCTCCGGGAAGCCTCCACAGAGATGATCTCCCTCCTGATTGAAAAAACAGCACACATGGGTGCCGGACCAGCCTGTTCCAGCCTCTTCACCTCCTACCAGTCTCAGTGTGCTTTCTTCTTTACTTCTCTAGTTGTAGGAATTCCATTCAGTCAGCTTTCAGTCAGGTTCTGGATGGTGGTTGTTCTATATTTTAGTTATAATTTTGATGTGGTTGTGGGAGGCGGCGATTACAGGCATTTATCTACACTGCCATCTTTTGCACAGGTGGTTTAAAAATTTTTTTTTTTATTTAGAGAGAGAGAGAGTAAGGGAGAGAAAAAAAGAGAGAGAAACATTGATTTCTCATTATTGGTTGCTTCTTGTATGTACCCTGTCTGCAAATCCAACTCGCAACTTTGGTGTATGGGGACAATGCTTTAAACAACTGAGCTACTTGACCAAGGCCTGAAGTGCATAGTTTTTTTTTTATTTTGATAAGGTCTATTTTTTTCTTTGCCTCTTGCACTTTTGATGTCATATCTAAGTTTAAACACATACTAACCCAGGGTCATTAAGATTTACTCCATTGTTTTCTGGCCCTCTGCCCACTTTTAGCTTTAGCTCTTGTATTTAGGTCTATGGTAAGTTTTGAGCTAATCTTTCTACATGGTATATACCAAGAGACATATCTTCTTCTCCCTCTTCTTTTTATTTTTTTCCTTGTCCTTCTCTTTTTTTGCATATGGACATCCAGTTTTCCCAGCACCATTTGCTGAAAAGATGATTTCCTCCCCATTTAATGGTCTTAACACTTTTGTTGAAATTTAATTGATCATAAATGTAAGGGTTTATTTCTGGAATGTTAATTCTATCCATTGATCTATATGGAAATGTGGATATATATACTAAATATATGAATATAAATACTAAATGTCAGTATCACAGTGTTTTGTCTACTGTATCTTTGCAGTAAGCTTTGAAATCAGAGTGTCATTTCAACAACTTTGCTTTTCTTTTTCAAGATTGTTTTGGCTATTTTGGGTCCTTTGCATTTTCTAAATTAAATTTATTGGGCTAACATTTGGGCAACATGAACATATAGGTTTCAGGTGTGGGTTTCTATGTTATAAGATCTGCATCCCATCACCCAAAGTCAAATCTTCTCCTGTCACCATATGTTAGGGCCCCCTTCTGCTCCCATCCCTTCCTTCTGGCAACCACCAACTGCTGTTTGTGTTCACAAGTTTCAGTTTTATATCTGAAATATGAGTGAAGTCATATGACTGACTTATTTCACTTAGCATAATATTCTCAAGGTCCATCCATGTTGTTGCAAATGGCACTATATCATCCTTTCTTTTGGCTGAGTAGCATTCCATTGTGTATATGTCCCACATCTTCTTTATCCAGTCCTCGAATGCAGGACACTTTGGTTGTTTCCATGTCTTGGTCACCATAAGTAATGCTGCAATGAAGAGTGCGTGTATCTTGGCCAATACATGATTTTGAATTTTTAAGGTATATATCCAGGAGAGGGATAGATTTCCATAGTGGTTGTACCAGTCTACATTCCCACCAGCAGTAAATGAGGGTTCCCTTTTTTCTGAAACCTCTCCAACTCTTGTTATTGCCTATCTTCTTGATAATGGCCACTCTAACAGGTGTGAGGTGGTATCTCATTATAGCTTTGATTTGCCTTTCCCTAATTGCCAGTGAGGTTGAACATCTTTTCATATATTTATTGGCTGTTTGTGTGTCTTCTTGG